GAGGAGGAGGTTGGCTGTATGGCAGCACAGTAACAAACGTCTGTATATGTTGGATTAGTGTGTTAGTGAGGCTCACCAAAGTAGGAGACAGACAGCAGCTTGAGTGTGTCGTTGTAGTAGAACTCGTTCCCTTCATGGTTTCCATAGTTGATATACTGACTGATGTGTCCGAGCCTGAGATCCCTGTTCACAGAGACAGCAGAGGGAGTGAGGTGACTGTACATTTGTAAAGCAGAAAAACTGGGATTGTTTTCTTCTAGTGATAAAATAATCTCAAATTCTCTGTTTTAAAAGCATATTTAATAAAATGAATGTTTTCAGGATCACAGTTTTAGATTCTGAGCATCCTCACACTCTTTGCTGGTGTTTTGTTTAAGTATGAATTCAGTTGGAGGAGTTTAAACGTGTCGTGCATGAATTATGATTTTAAAACTTCATTTTTTTAAACATGTACTTTTCAAAGAGTTTACTACATGTTGGACACTGATGTGTATGGAGTGACACATCAGTGTCCAATGTAGTGGTAGCGCTGCAGAGATGATATCTCTCGACAGGCCGGGAACGCCTTGGTGTTCCCCGGACAAGCCGGAGGAGGTGTGGAGAGGGAAGTCTGGGCTTCTCTGCTTAGGCTGCAACCTGCAGCCCTGCTCTGGATAAGAGGAAGAAGATGAGATTTCACTGTGGTTTTCATTCTTTATTAGTGTTTTCAAAGATTTTACCATTTTTAGATACTAACTTTAACTGCTTGTCATATAACATGTTAGTGAGTAAAGTAAAGAACTACTTTCACCTCTCATTGTTAGTACTTTGAGCTTCTGCACTTTACAACTTTACACAACACTCACAGCAATTGACTGAAACACTTCACCTCTAACCTGACAACATTTATTTATAACCCACTTACCTTCATCACAAATGACCAAACATCACTTTAGAGGATTTAGAGGAAACAGGTTGTTTAAATGATCAGATGGAGACTTTTGTGAATTCAGTAAAAAAAAGAAAATGACGCTGTCACATCAAACCCAAAGAGGCAACAATTAGTCTACAACTGCATATTTTCAGTGGCGAGAAAAACACATCCCATCAGAGCTGCGGGTTCAAAGGGGCTAAGATATAAAGAAACGAGGGGTGGTGAGAATTTTGCACAATATTGTACATTCATCCCCCGACTGAAGGAAAGAGATGACTTCTATAAGAAACATCACTCAGTAAATTCCTCTAACTGGGCTGGTTCTTCAGCCACGGGCCTTTTTACTCCCAAACACCAAGAACACACACAGCGCTGTGATCTCAGTCAGCAGCTGCACAGCCTCTCGAGTCACGACGTGGTGTAGATGTCAGGCGGAGCGCTGGGGACACACTCCCCCAATATTTAGAACACATGCATATACAACAGTCCTCAGTGAGGAACAGGAGGATGTGATGAGCAGTGTTTGGAGAGTTTTGCAAGGTTCTTTCAGCTATTAAAACACATTTACTATAGCTGAACATTCAGAGTCAGCTCAATGCGTAACCATCTCTGGAAGGATGAAAACACAAAACAGCACAACAGAGTCAAACATGTTTACAAAATAGGACAATCAGGATAAAATTACCAAGAAGCCTGCAGAGATTTTTTAAAGCAATCCAGAACAGAAGCCTCACAGCAGTATTTTCCAGTTTATGTCAGCCAGTGCTCATTTTGTTTGAGCTTTAAAGACATCGATACTGATGTTGGAAAAGGTCAAATGGTGCATTAACAACTAGAATCTGGGAAACTTGGTGTCTTACAGTTAAAATATCCCGTGC